GGGGGGGGGCGAGTGTAGGTAGGTTTCAAGTAGGTTTAGATAAACGAATAAACAATTGTTGCATTGAAGTGATGATATGAGGCTATCGGATTGGTGAATAGCCCAGGACAGGTCTACCAAGACTGTTTGGCAGACTATTGGTCAAAGGATGGACGTCACTTTTCTGACGAGTTGCAAGGCTGCGAATGTACCAAGATCACGCTCAGACTGGAAATTATCATACATGCCATGAATTTCAGATAAGATGTTCCTGCCAATATGACCAAGTTGCGAAAGCAAGGTGAAACGACTTTAATACAAGGAAAGGAGGAGACGACGACCACATAAAAGGCTTTTTATCCTTAAGCGCTCTATTGCGTCTCCACCTTAAGCAGGCAACAGGTGGGAGCAGTTGATAGTCTGGCCCAAGTTTCTCCTTAGTTTGCTTTGATTGGTGAAATCCCGCCCTATAGTGCCCTTCGGTCGACCGTAAGACAGATGTAGACGGCAAAACTTCTCTTGGCTGGTTTTAATATCGTGTGTGTGTGTGTGCGTGTGCTGATTTCCGTTGCCTGCAGTCAGCCAGATACAGCTCCTCTCGGTTTCGCTGAAAACGGGCTTGGTCTACCGTTTGTCTTGCTATTCGATAGAAACCCTTAGAGGTGAATATCATTCTTCCGAAAAGTCATAGCATACCTTCCGTTTCGTTTGAAAAGGCAGGTGGAGGGGAACCGTAGGATAGCGAAAGAGGAGTATTTGTAACTGCCAAATTGTTGCAGCAATACCTCGTCTCAGCGTCCCGTTACCTCAATGACTCCTTACTAAACTTCTGTTCGTCATATCAGGGACATTATCAGAGCTAGAAACTTTTATTTACGAACAATTACAAAAGAACAAAACCAACAAAGGTGGCTGGCTCAGATTCCACCACAACTATCTTATTGAGGCATTGCATGATTTGGTCGCTGCCTCTTCCACGTGCATGCAATAGAGTGAAAGTGATGCAAGAAGGGGAGAGGATACGGTCACAAATCCCCCAACCTTGTGGGTCAACGTAAATTGTCATCTCCGCACTTGAATACGTTCAGCAAAAATATTCTCCATTGTAACAATTCGCTTAACGCCCAGCCGAGGACTAACGTCAAAATTCATCGTCATTTTTAAAAATAACTCATTTCGAATATTCTAATCTTTTACTAAGACGCCGGTAAATCCTTTTCATCTGTCTTTACCACGTTCATCAGAGCCCTATTTTTACTGCCATGTGTGCCCCAGTCTCACATTTCTAACCCATGGATTTCTCATCTGTGAACTGTGCTTATTAAAAAACTTTTACAACTTATCTGATAGACCTCCCAGCAATAGAGATGAAAAAGAAGCCTTATCAAAAGACTTTCTATCCACATCGGCTCCGAGGCCTGCCCGTTTCCAGGAGCTTCCGCTTGTTAGTGACGTATTTATTATTCATGTGTGTTCTATCTTTATAGTTATTTACATCGCACTAGGGACGGATAGAAGCGAAATCTAGCTCGTCTTTCCTCCTCGCCGTAGTAGATCAAATGCCTTAATGAATAATCCACTTAAACCTGCTACAAGACATGTTTACAGTCTTCATCGTTTAGGAGCTTATCGCTGATCGACATTCCAAATTTTCTACTAGGCCTTTTTATAAAGCCTTGGCTCTGTATCATCCCTCCGTCTGAGCCCGGGACTTTGGAAAAAGGCCAAATTCAGTTCATTATTTAAATGCCGGATGCTTTCGTTCTAGAAATTTTTTTCATTTGCTTCACTTATTCAGTGTGCATTGTCGTAAACATGGTGCCTTAGGAAATTAGTCAGTTTTGCCCTTGACGCACATTGCTGCAGTTATCTACTGCGAGTATTTTTCCATGGCAATATAAGCAACACAGGGTTAACTCGTTTGTTTTTTCGATAATGTTAACGTGACAAGAATGAAACCCAGCGAGACCTCGACGAGCATATCCTATCCCCTTGTACTTCCACGATCCTTGATATCATATTTTCTTCCAGCATATAACAATAATTAAATGAATTGCCAGTGTTTTGCCAGAAGCGTGGTCAATCTTCATTGGGCAACATTGAACTACCACTCCTCCATCGCCATTGTGAATTTATTTCTTTGATTAAATTGGCTTGTAAAATGTGCAAATCCTTATAAGGTGCAAATTAATCATCGAGATGGGTACTGGTGGTTGCAGCGGTGATTTCTCTAATTCCTCATAAAATTTAATTATTTGATAAGCACGATGAAAATAAAGATGTCATAGGTGGTCATAATATTTGCTATTAGATATTGCCGCCTTTATACGTAATCGTATTAAGGACTCATCCATGTGCTTCCAAATTATAATCTTTTTGTTCCAAAATCTCCGGCTTGGCCATAAGTGCCTTCTCTCATTATATGCTTGTGTACATGGATTGCACAAAAGAACTTGTCAACAGTTTTGTCCCTTCCAGTCATACCC